GATTAAGTAGCTGTGCTAGGAAGCTATGTTTGCATTGAGATACTCCAGCTATGTCACTCCAAGGCAGCTTTTCAGGGTCCTAGACTTCTCCTGTTGGAGATGTTAGGGTGCAATCCTATCATCCTGGGGCACTCTTAGTGCTAACTGGCTGCTGCACACCCTAGTTTTGAGCTGATTTAATGACAGTGTAAGTCAGGATCTTAGGGCACATCCATACAGACAAGAAGACACTCTTCATTATCACAGTATTGATAAATGGTAAGTGCTTTAAGAGGCTAGCACACCAGGAAATTTAAATCTCAGAAGGTGATTTTGAAACTCAAATCATACATTTTTTAAAAGTACCAGCTAGTTATTTGTGCCAAAGTTGAAGCTAGCCCTTTACTGGTGGTCTCCAGGCAATAAGATCTTTCAGCAACTGCCACAGATTTATGAGCCTCTTTCCTTAAAGCTTCAGCCTTCAAAGTGCCCCTCTGTGTATCCCTGAAAGCCAGGCCCAGGAATTGTTTCTTTACACGAAAAAACTTCACTGTTCAGTGACCCATCTGTGTAGGTTAACAACTGTTGCTTGTCTTTGTGAGGATACTGCATCCAAATTAGTTTCACTACTGTGGAGGATATCGGGAAGGAAAGCAACTAGCGTTAATCAGAATGACACAAGCAGCTCTTCCAAAATAGATTAGCCTCAACAATCGGCACACAGAGTCCTTCAGTCAGTGTGTCTGAGCTGAACTTAGGCCAAACTTCACCTCAGAAGAGTAACTGGTTTAATATGCATCTGTGGAGTTTGTCTTTGTTTCCTTCTCTTCCTCTCAATTTGTCTGCAGCAAGCTATGAACAAACTGAAGAAAGCAAAACTGCACAATCTCACCATGGCCGGCCCCTCTAGGTGACGTTCATCACACCTAACCTAATCTCAAGGGCAGGTGCTGAGACTGCTGAATGTCAAGATCCCCCATTTCTCACATGGAGGGGTAGGTGCTATGCATGAAATTAATTTTCTCTAGCAGCTATGTTTGCAATGTAATTGTTATCATCTGGACCTCACAGACAAAGGAGAGAAGAGGCATCTCCGGAAAGACACCTGACCTGTGTTACATGTCTCCTGCAAGACGAGACAAGCCATGAATTAGAAGCAATTCTTCCTCACTGTTGATGTAAGGGAGACCAGATAGCTAACTCAGTCTTATATGCCTCCCCTAAAGACATCTGTGTTTGGTTCAACAAATCCCTACCTTCCCAGTAGGGATTCAACGCACCCTAAGACTGGTGCCTCAGATAGGTGGGACGAATCATCCTCTTTAGGTGCATGACAAGTGACATTTCATGGGACAGATCTAGGCCATTGGTATTAAGTGGTAAGGGTTCTCATGTCTGCTTTAGGTCCCAGAGGTATGAGACACTCACAGAAGGGAAAGGCACAGCAAAGCAAGTCTAGCGCAGAAGAGTACTTCTGGCTTCTAGCTGCCAGATTCTCCTGTTTCTGAAAGAGTTTGGTTGTCTTTTTTTTTTTTTTTTTCTTTAAAACTTCACTTTTCTAGTGAAAACTAGGACAACAAAGTAAAATAGTCAAGTTCCTGTGATCAAGACCGGATTACATATGAAAATAGGCCTCTACACAATCCTGGTATCAATACCTAACATTTATGTCTTCATATGCATTTTGACTTTATATTTTTCTGAAGATAATGATGGAATGCAGGGGCCCAGCTTAACTGTTATCTCCAATAAAAATAAGTTTAAGGCAAAAAATTATTCTATAATGACAATTATAATTTAAAACAAAATTAAGAATTAAAAAAAAAAGTATTTCTTCCACTGAAAGTTGCCATAAAACATTTATGCCTTTGGGATGTAATACCCTTTTTGTTCACAATTTCTTATAAGTTTACCTGTCACATCCTCTATTGCAGCACAGATACAGCAAGCTCATATAAATACAAAATTATAAATAAAGCATTACTGAAATGAGAGTATATACAGTGATTTACAATGACAGGGAAATATGGAAATAAAGCAAATATGACATGAGATACATCTTTCCTACATCATGGATAGGCAAAAGCATTATGGGTATTGCTATTTTTCTATGGGGTCCACAGAGTCTCTATAATATCAGAACATCACTGAGTTGTTATTGAATATACTTGGTGAAGAAGGGAAGTGTTGTTGCCTCTGGTTTACAGAGGGTGAAGTCTACAGATGAGACAAGAGATTACAGGCAATAACGTGGTTAGCAATTACGGTATCCAGCATGGACACGGGGTCTCCCCATGGCACCTACCACATGACCCACCTTTCATGTACACGTCCATTGGGAAAGGGGGAAGAAGTGCAGGTCTGTGGGGTAGGAGCAAAGGGGTGACACAGCCACTACCTGTTCCCTTCCCGGGTTTGAGAGCAGGAGGCGGATGCGGGCTGCACTGAGCTCTCTGGCAGCCTTGTCCAGTCTACACCACCACCTTACATACCATTTACTTCCCTCGTGTATTTTTTATTGTGGTTTTAGGGGTGGTTTTTTTTTTTTTTGTTTTGCTTTGACTGTGGGAAGGGTTTAGATGGAGCATGTGAAATCTCATATCAAGTAGTAAAACGCTATTGCTAGACCAATGTCACGAGGTAAAGGAGCCCCTTTCAAAATTTAAGATGTAAGGAAAGGCGATCACCGTGAGGCTATTTATATTTGTTTAACTCTTTCTGTCATTGCATGAAACCTAAATGCTTTATTTGTACAAGTTAAAAAAAAGGTTTTTACTGATACTTTGTTAATATACAGGCTGGGACTGGTGCTCCAAGTTGTATTGTTGAAGTGACTGCACTGCGTTACATGCAAACATTATGCTAAATAACCTATTACTTAATCTTTACTCCTGACAGAAATCCCTTCATTAAAGCATACGGTAGGTCTTAAGCTTGAAGATCTCAGCAGTGTGGATATTTTTGATTTCTCAATTTATGTACTTATTTGTCAACACACTTGTAAAAATGCTACACGTGTGCATACATACATAGTTATACATACACACACATATACACATACACACACATATATTTATATTCATATATATATTTATACAAAAAGAGATAAGTAACAAATATGTAAGCTAGTCTGCATTTACAGGATGGTCACATTGTGCCAGAGGTTCTAGGTAACAGCAGACTACATTAGTGAACTGATAGTTTAATAAAAATAAAAAAATAAAAAAAAAAAAGAAAACTACTCAGTAAGATTTAAAAAAAAAAAAATCTATGCTTTTGCTCTCTGAGCAGCATAGAACAGTGCAAAGAGTGCTGAAAAGATTTAAAGGTTGTAAAATGGTGACAGCTCCTTTGAGAGTAGGTCATCTACAAAGCCACCCAGCTGATCATTCACCCAAATCCACCCCAGGTGCTTCCAAAGCAGCAAATACCACACACACACAACCTGAAATGACAACTCAAATTTGCATTGCAGTATCTATATATACGACAGTGACATCAACATGGTTTCCTACAAAGGTTCTTGAGGACTATATGACCAGGACCCTTCTTGTCACATTATGGGGACACCATCCTTTTCCATGTAAGACAAGCAGATATCGTGGCACAGGGCAGAGGAGGTGTCACATGCCATTGCACAAAACCCAGGCAGCAGGGCAGCAAATGAAGTCACACCTCCTTCACCCCATTTTCTGTCCATATCTCAGGCAGAGAGTGAGCTGGGGTTGTAGGCACGAGTGATCCTCACTCAGCAGCGTTCAGGACCTCCTAACTAGCCAGGCTATTTCAGCAACTCCTACTGGCTACAGAAAGCAGATCCACTACACTATGCTACACTCATTTTCTGCCTGACTATTCTTTAACCTTCTTAGCTGAAATTATCATTAATTCATTTACAGCTTTGAAATCTGCTCTACTGCCAAGTACTGAGTTTATTCTTGTCTCATTTCAGACTTCCTGCTGTAACAACACAACAGGCTATTTTCAAGGCAAATGCAGGATGACACACACTATCTTGAAAATGTACGCCTTGAAAACCAAAATGTATCTGAAGGCCATACCTTGTCTCTGTAATATCAATGTCCTATGAAAGTTACTCTTATTGGCTACAATGCCCAAAGTACATTTTGCCAGAAAAGGAGCTGTAAATAATTTTAGAAAGCACATGACTCCACTTCCAGTGGAGTAAAATACGTGTGGCTCTTACTCCTCCAGCTTCAGAATTCACCGTGTCCAAAGACCAAAGAGGAGCCACTAGGTACTCACATGGACTTCAGCTGCAGTTTGCCATAACAAGACACCAGATAGAGGAAACTCACCTTGAGCTTCAACAAAGAGATTTATGATGGAGGGGGGAAAAAAACGTAGCACCTTTTGTTCTGTCCATCTATTGAAAGCAATAACACTTTTTTTCTTCTTTCCTTCATCCCTAGAAAGTACTAACTATAACCATCAAACACTTCAGTCAAGCTATTTTCAAACAAGATTAATGTTTTGCATGTGTGTATTTTACTCTTGCTCCAAAGAAGGGGAAAAAAAAAAAAACAGATTGCCTTTAAGAAGTGCTGAACACCATTCTCATAGCCATTATTCACCAGTCACATCATGTCTTTTGGCAACTCTCTTGTTTCTGAAAAGCACTGTTGCCTGACTATAGAGAAACACTCCAATAAGAAGAACACATACACTTACAGGATGCGCTTTTTATGACATCTTTCCAAGAAGAACAGTAACTAATTGTTGAGTTTCCTACTGGGAAATGTCTTTTTAATGCGTAGATCTCTTAATGACTACTCTAATGCAAATTGCCAATGTTATAGTAAATTAATCATACACACACACATATATATGTATATATATAGAAAAGAGTTTAGCTCTTACTTAGGATATGCTTCATCATCTTTCTAGGTAACACAAATCCAGTGCAGCCCATGTGCCATGTGGTTCACAGCTGCCAAGTGTTCTTTTTATTTTATATACTATTACTGAATGTATCCGTAGGGTTTTTTAGGCCCACTTACTTGGTGCTGACTGGCTTTTGCCAACTGCTCATTGGCTGATTCTACATTAGAAGATGCAGTCTCAATGTTGGCTTCAATACTGTCTGCAAATTAAGATAATAGAAGATAATTACAGGGTACAAACCTAAAACAAAGACTTCATACCAACAGCAATTCAGCAGTTTGCTCACAGGCACGAAGGGACAGCAGTTTCTTGTTTGCAGGCAGTCATGCTACAGGAAAATAGGAAAGATACCCAAGTTTTGAGGAATAAAGAAGCTTAACCTGTCAGTCAGGGGCAGTATGACCAATAGCTCTTAGTGTGCTACCACAGAGGATGGGAGTTACCATCTCATCCCATTCTCACTGAAATCAATGAAAAGACTGACAGAGAATTCAAGTAAATTAGCTCAAGATGTGGAATTTCACTGGACGAGGGTTAAATTACAAAAGGGACGTTGCAGATTGTATCTGAATTGGTCCGAATAAGAGCTCAGAGATAAGATTCATCTGAATAAGTGTGAGTTGTTGAGTTGCTGACAATCCCCAGGTGTCTCTATCTGAGCTCAGACTCTCCTGCAGTCAAGGGAGAGCAAGTCAGTGGGGTGCGATTCATCTCACTCAATAGTAGCTGCCTGCGACTAATCAAATCAGATGAATCACAGCCTAAACTTTACCCACCACATTTCCAGATTGCAAGGGAGATCTACGCAAATGGCTCAGACCGAGATGCAGTGCCAGTGCTTAAAATTAAGGGAGATAGATCTCATCCTAGATTGCCAGGTTTGGGGATGGGAGAAGCTGCAGGGACCATGCGCAACCAAAACGAGGCTAGATAAGAAAGATTAACAGCAGCTGCAGCCAGCAGTGGGAAAATTCTCCACTTCAATCAAAGATAAGTTTTAACCTGACTCCAGAGCTGTGCTTAGAAAGCTACATATCTATAGTATAAACCTGCAATTAAGAGTTTGTGTTTATAATGGAAATCTTAGAAATCTTGACCCACTTGTCCCCTAAGAGATACACAGCCAATAATATCTGGCCCCTTTTGCAGGATATGTGCACTTGATGTGCTTACATGGATTTTAGAGCAGATATTATTACCACTGAGTATATTAAAATGGTCAGGAGGAATTGAACCACTGGCAGAAATTTGGGAATAAATTTCCAAGGATGTCTCTAACCCTTCATAAGATTAATGGAAATGCTTCACCTGATGGTATTAGGGCTTGCATTAAGATTTGGGCTTGCACAGAAGATTTAAGTCAGATTAAGGGCTTGCACAGAAGATTTAAGTCAATTTTTTGTTTGTTTGCTTCTGAGGGAAAGAATGTAAGACAGACTGGCTGCTTTTGTGAGGTGCAGAGAAATGAAGGTTTGCAGATAAACCGTGCAAGAGTTGTTGTGTTCAATTTTTTGCCTTTCTAAACGGAGTAATGTTGCAAGCCTGTTAATGTGACTAGGCATTTGCGATAATTCAACTTAAACAAAACGAAAGCAAACAAGCAACGAAAACCTCAAACCAAAAGAACAGTGGAACAAAACCCCAAACCTCAGCTTAACTTTTGGAAACTTTTTTGAAGTCTTTCATCACAACTAGGAGAGATGTTTTTCCTTTCCTTTTATGCTATATTATACATGCTGCAGTACACAAGAACAAACTACGTGACCGGCACTTTTATAGGTTGATATACTATATTTTTATTGGCCATATCCAAAGCCTCTCAAACAACTTTTATTAAGAATCTAACACTGTGGATCTTGGTTGACATCACTGAGATCTGTTCAAACGCTTCTTCTGCAATCAGGACGCAGCAGGAAGAGATAAAAAGACGTCTAAGGAAGTCAAGATCTGGCTGTGGAGGAATATAAAATTTGCTTCCACAGAGCCTTAAAACAGCTGCTGTGCTGCTTCTCAGAAACATGCATCCACACACAAGCACACGTCTGTGTTAAAGCCCTGAAGAGTTTATTGCTAGCATTGCATTGATCCTAAGATGTCTCTGGGAAAGTGACAGACGCTTCTCTCTCTATTTCCAGTACGAGTGGAAACAAATGGTGCTGAATCACCAAAGATGGTCAAGAGAAACAGGAACGGTGCAACAGCACTGCAGTCAGCAGCATTTTTGCCACGTGAGCAGATCTAGCCAAGGTCACGTGAATCACGTCAGCCTGAGTAACAATGGCAAATGACAGACTTCAACCTGTCACTTGATAATAATCAGATCCTAGGCAAGTTTGCAAGGAAAACCCTGCTGTCACATCTCCACAAGTACTATCCTTGTCCATTGCAATCACACTCCTGGTTAAAAAGAGTATCTGTCCTAAACTCCTGTGCTGGCCCTGATGTTTTTTCAGCCAGGCATTGAGATTGACCCACGAATTCGCAAAGGGTCATGCTACGTACTTTACAAGAGTAGTGGTGAAGGGGCATTTTATGTTTTCTGTGTAGAACTGAAAAACAGGTGTGGGAAAAGCTGAAAAGAGGCAAATCTACAGACTAGATTAGCTCTGTAGGACTGAGGCATGCTTGTTCTCTGTGTTTGTATGTTAGGACAGTGCTGTGTAATTGACAGCTACAATCCTCTCTCCATGTTTGGAGATGGCAGTGCACTAGGCAGAGAATCCAAAATGGTTACTATGTCACTAAGGGTAATTTGACACTTAACACTGACAGGATGCATCAGCTGGAATGACTTTTCACCTAGCTATAGGGACAAGTTCCTAGTCCTCTAGTTGGTAAGAAGTGCTGGCCTCTTTGGTTAACCATGATTGCATGATGCAAAGTTAACCGGATTTGCCCGGACACATTACATCTTCCGTGTATGTCCATAGGAACCGTTGGAACAACACCAGTTTGCATCAGTTGAGAATCAGACCCTGCCAGCACCACAGCTCCTCAGATCATAGCTCTAACATGCCGTAGCTTTCTTATAGCCAAGCTGTAACAGTCGGATGTGTTAGGATGGGGGTTGAAGAGGTAGGGAAGAAGACCAGTAAGGAAGACATTGAACAAGAAAGAGGAATAAAACCTGCTGGGACACCTGTTAACTTTAGAAGCACAAAGCCAGACAACGTTCTTGGATCACAAAACATAACTGTACATAGAAAAGTGCTTCTGGGTATTAAACTACTTCATGGTGGGACTGTTGCAAACAAGGCTGGAAGGAGTGGGAGGAGCATGGTGAACACCTTGACAAATATCTACTCAAAGTGACAGAACTTCTTCCTCGCGCATCTGATGTCAACCAGAATCCTAGTACAAACACCCTTTACTAATGAGTGCATCTTAAAGGCTGATTGCCCTCAGCAAATGCATCATTTAGGCAGAGCAGAGCTATAGAGGGGAAATTTATAGAAACCATCCTAGTATAATGAAAGTAATCTCTGTGCTCCTCTTGAAGGGGTGGGAGGGCATTCGCAGCAGGAGCTTAATTTAGCTTCCCTGAATGGCCCTCCAGAGCAACCTACTACTTTCTATTGCCTACAGGGGGGAGCCTAAAGAGATTTCCCTTCGTTAGACAAAATTAAAATCTGTGAATACCCCCTTAGCACTATATGGATTGGACTATTCATATGTTATGCTTAAGAAAAAAATAGAATTATGTTTTGTATATACCGCCTATGAGTGTTTCACCAAGCCCAAGCTTTTCTGAAGGGAATAGACATTTGCTACATGTCCTATAAGCGTTGATGTGATGTTACAGGAGGAGACTGGACCCTGGTGGCAACGTTTCCACTCACTTGTGCCCCTAATGTGGGAATACCAGCCCTAGAATAAGTCCCATTTAAAATTTTCTAGTCAGTTATAAATCCAAGAAGCACAGGGGAAAAAACAAACAAGCAAACAAACAAACAAATTAACAACATAAAAGAGATCCAAAACTATGAAAATGAGTCATAAATACCTAATACTATGTAGCTAGAGATTTCTGCTGACTTATCCAGCAAAGCAAGTGAAGGAAAGAGAATTTGGATCGAATCACAAGAGAGTAACTAGGTCATATCAATAAATCAGTGATGAATATGTCACTCAGCCATTTCAGTGCATCTTTCCTGAATGCCAGTGATTGCTCACGGCTTCACCTTGCTTAATTTCAGGCTCCTCACTGAGATACCTGAGTTAGGGATAGAAAGGCAAGCATTTCCAGAGGTGCTCTAGGACCTTAGACGGACTGAAGAACCTGCTTTTCTCTTTCTCTGTTGGTCCTGGCATGAAGGTATAGTGACCCTGCTCCCAAATAGGTGAGACAATCCAGGCCTGGGTCTGGGATTTTCAGAAGCACCTCAGTATCCCGAATCCCATAAGAAGTCTGTGTCTTCACTCAAAGGTGATGAAATTGTGATTATGGTATGGTTTGGAACCAAACAAAAACCCTACGGCACTACGATCACTGTTTTATTAAACCGAGCAGCATGGCTGCACTAAAGTAACCGGTGGCAAGTAAGTGCAGCCTTGGAATTAGAAAAAAGGTTTCTAATTTTCAGGCTGAAACACATCTTTTCAATAGGAGTAGTGAACGCAGAAGAGCTAACCAGCTTTTAGATGCAATTTAACAAGATTTTATGACACCTTTCTCACACAGAGCTAAAAATCATGATGACCCAGGAGGTCTCTTTCAACCCTATCTATTTACCTGTCTTCTGAGATCAAGGCCTGCTAATGACCAGCAGAAGTCTTCTACACGAAATTACTGGAGTGAAAGTGGCTGAAGTGAGGTTTTTGTCATAATGCATCAAGGAAGCACCTGTATGACCTGTGTCTTTATAGTGGCAACAATGAACTGGCTTCATAAGGCAGTATTTTTAGTAGAGCTGCCTGAAAGACAGAAAAGTGAGCTTGTGAATGAGAACTTTAAAATGCTCTCATTGGCAATAACTGAAATGGGTCCCTTCAGGTTTCACAATATGCATTTATTTTTAGCGCTTTAATAAGCTTAACTGCGTTTCTGACTAAAAATAATCAATGCAATATACTGAGAAGTGCAATAAAAAAGGAATATTTTGGTAGTATCTAAATGCTTCTTTCTTAATTAAAAGTCAAGTTTTGCATGAAATTGCTTTCAGTGTCAAAAAATAAACAAAAAACAAACAAAAAAAAAAA